TTGGAAAGCTAACTTCTGGGGCTTCATTTTGGACACTAGCCGAGCACTTTGTGGCCTTGGAGACCACCCTCCGACCACCTTTCTTTCCGGCCTACCACAAAACGTAGCTGGCTGACCACCTAACCCTTTTGACCTGGTCGGCCGAGCAGGGCAAGTGGTCGGCCGACCCCCTGAACTAGTCGGCCTGCCTCCTCTTGTCTTGTCCCTGTGAGTTGTTGCCAACTGTGCCAGCTGGAAGGCACATAATTCATCCTCCATACACGTGTATGGAGGATGTTTAATCTTGCTTCCAAGCTTCTAAGAGAAGCTTTGGACCTCTTTGGCTATAAGAAAGACCCTCTCCCTCATTAGCAAGGGTTGAGAACCTGGTTTGAGGCATACAATATACACCTCTCTATATCTCTCTCTTTTGTGTTTAAAAGTCCATAGTTCTTGCACATTTACACTACACCTCTTAGCCTAACACCTCCAACACCAACCCAAGCTTCTTGGAAGGTCTTAAGAGGTTCTAAGGTATGAGTTTTTGGTCTCAAAGCAGCTGGAGTTGCTGCGCTTCAAGGGTAACACTTCTTTCCCTCTTTTAAGCATTGTTTTGCTTCATATCTTAGCTCCATTTGCAAGCATATTTGGGCTTTGTAATAAACTAAAAAAAGTCTTATTTTGTGCTTCTTAACATGTTTGAGCTTTGTTGGCCCTTTTGACCACTAAAATCCAACAGATTTTCAGTGGTTATTATGTGTTTTTTAGCATCAAAATCAGAGAGGGGAGACCCTTTCACCCATTGTCTTGTTTTCTAGCATTATTGGCCTTACAAAGGAGCCCCTATTTGCATGTTTCCAAGCCATGTTTCAGGCCTTTTTTGATGAGTTTTAGGACCTACATGAACTCTGTCCAGAGTTATTTTTGCTATATCAGGTGTCCCTCTTGCATGTGTGGAGTAACCCTCTTCATGACCTTTCAAAGGAGCCTTTACTTGCAAGCTTCCTAGCCTCATTTCTGGCCATTTTTGATGAGTTTTAGGGCATACAGCTGTCCAAAAATATCTGCAAAAGCAGATGAACAGCAATCGGCCGGCAAAAAATGCCATCTTGGCCAAACAAAGTGCCGACCGGCACAAAAAAGTGCTGACCGGCAACAAATAGTGCCGACCGGCAAACTAAATTGCCGGTGGCAGCAAAAACCAGCCGGTGGCATCTAGCCACTGCCGGTGATGGGTGGGGATGGTCTACAAGCCCCACCCTGCCTCTCAAAGGCAAGATGCAAGTGTTTGGTGCAAAACCAGACACTAAACGGTCGAGTTCGGGGATCCTGAGGCGGGGCGCGCGAGCCGAGACCTCCGGGAACTCCAAACGAACACAAACATGGATAATCACCGAGTGTTCAAACGGTGACGTCCAAGTCTTGAGGACGGTCAAAAATGGGGTGTCTACACATGTGTATAAAGCCTGCTCCCAATTTTGTGAAAAACCTTTAGATGCCAATCAAGGGGGGCTACTCTAGATATTACAGCTCTAGCTTTTTACTTATTTCACTGATTTGCATTCTAAGTGTTTGAGATTTTTACTGTCAAACCCTACTTGTTATGGAATAAAATATGCTAGAGTTTCACTTTATCCCTCCATTTTTGCCCATTATTTTACTTTCTTCCATCAACTCCCAGTTTCCCCTCCTTCTCACACCTTTGAAACCAATATTGGCCTAGCCTGGTTGAGGACTTTCTTGGCTGATAGAAACTGTTCCCAGCCCCAGCACAGGAATATGTGGGCTTCTATTTTAACTCCAAGAGAGCTTTTCATTGGCACTTTAAACCCTAGAGCCTACAAATGTATAGCAGAATCCTACTGCCTTGCTCAATTTGCTAGGAAATTTGGGCTTACCCAAGGGATCCCTATTCCTCTTTGTAGTCAAACCAACCCCAATCTTGTCACTAGAGAGCTGAAGGTGCAAAGATCAAGGTTAGAGGAGGCAACCTCCAAATTAATTCAAGAGTTAATTGAATTTCAGTTCATTCCCTTCATCTCATAAGGCACTGCACTAAAGAGGTACCAGAACTGGTGGTCAGCGAATATAGAGGTACACTTAGCCATTCCCCCTCAAGATCTATTAGTGGGTCTAGGCTTGCTTTCTCAAGCCCAGCCTAAGGGGACTGGGCTCATCACTCCTTTTACTGCTCCTGCTACCACAACTCCTACTCCTGCTACCACAGAGAATGCTTCTTCTGCCTCTCCTCCTCCTTCTAGAGTCATTAAGGCTGGTTCGAAGAAAGGCATGCACCCCTTTGTCTTTCTTTTCCCTTCTTTTATAATGCTTAGCTCCTTTATTTATAGCTTTTATTTGATGCAGGGACTTCACTGGTAGACTTTACTTAGAGGTATTCTTAAAGACAAGCAGCAACGACAACATAAGAAAAAAGAGCTTGTGCTTGATCCTGAAGAAGAGGACACACCTAATACCCCTATAGAAAAGGAATAAGAAACCCCACTCAAGAGGAAGAAGAAAGTAATAGTCACTCCCTCTAATTTCATTGGTGACCCTACTCATCAAGCAGCTGCCAAGGTAGTAGAAAATGAGCAATCCAAAGAATTGATAGTTTTTCAAAGGTCTGAAAAAAGAAGACAGCAGCTGGTGTTAAAGAATGAGGTAGCTGCTGCTGAGGCCCTTCAAAAGGAAACTGCAAGGAGGCAACAAACTACTGAACACTATGCTCTTCGCAGTTCTCCAATCATTAATACTACTACCTCTGAGACTGGTAATTCCTTTTAGTTTCTTTTATGATTTCCTTTCTCAAAGTTCTAGCAACAAAACTTAGCATTACTTCTTATTTTCTAATTTGCAGCAAAAGTTATTCCACGTCCTTCTCCGTCAACAGATGAAAGGCCAAGAAGAAAGAAAAGCCCAACAAAAGTGCCTCTGAGTGTAGAGCCTATCCAAACAGTATTCCCTCTTCCTAGCTCCATACTTTCCCTATCTTCTTTAAGGCCAAACATTCCTATTTCTTTATGCCCAGGCTTAACTCCATATCTAACTCATCTTAACCCAATTTGCTCTCCCTACAGTCCTGGCTGCTCCTTCTCCACCTGAGGAGGTCCCAGTTATCACTTCATCTTCAGTGATAGTTGATACTCCCGGAGAAGACACTAGTAGCCCACCAATTCTTTGTCCACCATCACCATCCAGCTTTAGTCCTTCTTCTCTCAACTTACTAGTGGCCAGGACTATAGACATTGCTAAGGACACTTCAACCTCCTCTCCTATCCATATGCAGCCATCTCTTGCTTCAACTAGAGACCTTTTTGCACATCCAATGTCAATGGAAAAGATGGGCATTTTTTAAGTTAGGCTGGCTAGCCTTTTTAACATACATTCCACTATTCCAGCAACCAGTAATGAAGCTGAGCCATTCATTGGTTCTGGTTGACTCTCTTTTGGAAATTTTTGAAAGCTCTTCAACCATCAATAAGGCTTTTGTAACAACGTCCACGAGGGACCCCGCTACAGTTCGGACTCGATTTGCGTCACGGTTCTTAATCTGAACCAAATAGTCCAAATTCGGCAAATCGTTTTTAAGAAACAGATTTTTGAAAAGAAGTGCCAAACATGGACTGATTTGCCAGATACAGAGTCGCCACCTAAATATTTTATTTTGGGGAATTTAGGAAACCCTGACTCGGTGCCGAAGGCCACGTATCCGTCATCACCAAAGTTGCCTCGGCTCGAGAGCTTGGGTACGATTGTGGAAGGTCAGCTATGAGCAACCCCTCTCGCCCGATCCGAAGATCGGCCTCTACTAACCATGATATCCGTTTTTGAAAACGTTATGTGTTCTTATCCCGATTATTAACCTAGGATTACTATGTTATGCGCACAGCACAAAAGTATAGACTAGATTGCCTAATTTGGGAATAAACATTGCATATCCGTTTGTTTTGGAAAAATGTTTTGGAATTTGCTACTCGCAAGTAGGCTAAAACATGGATTTCAATGAGCTACTCCAACTCAGACAATCCAACCTTCACCCACAGGCATTCAAGCAGTTTATATCACATAAGCAGCTAGCCTCATGGTAATTATGCTATTATGGCAACACTCACACACATGCAAGGATGCTAAAGCATAAATACTTACATCGTACTCCGTGCCAAAACAAAAACTAGTTAGTAATCATATGCATGATCCTAGTTCATGTTTGGATGGTTAATGCAACACATGGAAGATGCAACTAAGATAGGCTCGGCTAATCTATAATGACATATGAAATACTACGACTAACACGTATTCAATTTGGAATTGAAATACAAATGCAGTTAGAATGATGCGCCGAGCCCGGTGCATGCGAAACGGATGAATGAATGCAAACATGCTGTCATGCTGTTATGCTAATTTAAGTATGCCCTAGTCTACCATCATAAGCAGGTAAATAAAAGGGAAGAAAGACGTGGGATTGGAAGACATGCACACATGCACCCACACTTATTACAAATTTGCCCTCGCTCGGAGGGACCAAAAAAATAATACAATCTGAATAATGAATTACCTATCCTAGCTAATTAATTATTACAGACCATCTAATTTAACAAATTAAATGTGGAATAGAGATGGCCGCAGCCGTGCCTCAGGATACGCGAATGATGCATGCTTGATCCATCTTGCCCGGAAACCCGTACCATGCCACTGCTGCCTCTGTTAATGCTGCCCTGCTCCTCTGAAAATTGCCAAAGTCTCAGGGTATCTTCAATGAGAACTGCATAACACCACCGGCTAAGTGAAATGACCACCGGCCATGGGAAATTTCCATCGGCTGCTTTCAAGTCCATCGGCCTCATATCCTTTGCCGGTCGGCATTCTTCAGTGCCGGTCGGCAGAAACTTCCTACAGAAGCTGGTTTTTGACAGCAACAAGGACAGAGCAGAGGGCAGAGCAGTACATGGCATGGAATTTTGAGCAAATATGAGCTTGGTCACACTCCCAATCATGCAAGAGACTCAAGGGAGCGTGACCCTCGACCTTCAGGCCATCAATTGTGCATTTTTGATGCATGATGGCCTAAGAGGCCGAGGTTGCAATTCAATGTAAAATGCATGCAAACAAAACACATGAATACCAACACCCTATCATGTTGGAGTCAAGGGGATTGGCGACCGAGGGTTGAGGCGTGTTTTGTCACTTGAAGTGCAAACACTCCTCAATCCCCATGCCCGGTTTGACACCCCAAACCAAGCAATGCAATGCGTATATACGAACTTGGCTCAAATGCACAACATGAGGTTAAAATGCAAAACATGCCAAATGTAATGCAACCTAAACATGCAAACTAAGTTAGTGCATTCTAAATGTGCCAAGTATGGTACAATGTATATGAGATGCAACTAGATAAATGCCATGCCAACATGCAAGTGTGATACAATGTAAGCATGAGGACCAAAACAATGCAACATGATCATGCAATGGTGGTGCTAAACCATGAAGGGCAGACCTCAGTCCATCCCAAAATAGTGACCAAAAAGTGTCCAAAATGGTGAACAAGCACTCATACCAAAATGCAAGCCGAAGGGTCCCAAAGCTAAGGCACAAACAAGGGGCATTCTACTACAACCATCATGACCACTCATGGCATGGACTAAGCAACCAAAACAGAAGTTCAATGCAGTAAGATACACCCAAAAACCCGCTGATATGGCAGCCCCAAAATATCTTAAACATACAAGCACGCACAATGCCCATTTCAAGGCACAAAACTACGACACCTTAAAGCATGGGAAGGGACACAAATGACAATATAAGACCACCTTACATGGACTGAAATATGATCTTAAATAATGCCAAATCATGAGGATAGTCTAAGTTAAGCATGCTAGAAGCCAAAATACTCAAGGCCTACACGCCAAAATGCAAAGCAACTACATCAAGCATGTCAAGCATGACTAAAAAAGTGGCCAACAGACCTTAAGAGTGACAAATCATGACTGAAAGCTTCAACAAGCTAAGCTAAATCATGCAAGCATGGAAGCCTAAATAGAAGAGGCATTTCTATGCAAAAGGGAGGGATACAAGACAAGGGTATTATGCATGCAAAAGACCACAAACCCAACCAAAGATAAAGATATATTATGATCAAAAGACACCTAAAAACCCCTGAAATCGGGCTAAAATTAGTCAAGCATGCATGTTGCCCTTTAAGCCAAAACAAGGATAAAAGAGAGACAAAGGGGAGAGGGGTGTCCCTCCCCTATGCAAGACCTCAAACCATCTCCTTCACCACTGAAAATCCACTAGATTTCAGTGGTGAAAAGAGCAATACAACAAAGCCAACAAGGCTTAAAGAAAAGGCACCAAAAGAGGCCAAAAGAGGCCTAAGAGGGGGAGTTCAACCCCCAATGGAAAATTGACCTCAATGAGATGTCTTAAGCATGAAAATACAAAGCTTTTTCAGTTATACACAAAGTCTAAAACAGAAAGCAAGATAGGTCAAAAGCCAATGCAAGATTGGGAAAACTAAAGTAAAGTGATTACCCTTGAAGAATCCCTTGAAGAACCTGAGAACTTGGTCCAACACCACTCTACTGACAAAATCAGTCCAAAACCTCAACAAAACAACCTCAAGTCTCAAAGTCGAAGTAAGGTGTGGTAGTGTGTGTGTTAGTGCAAAACTAAGGTTAAAAATGCACTTTTAGGCACAAAACACACACAAGGGAGTAGAGAGAGGGAAATATAGAGAGAGAGTGTGTATGTATATGTGTAAGCTCTGGTTTTTCTTTCAAAATACAACCTAGAAGAAGGAGAGAGCTCTCCTCTTATAGAAGTTCCCCTTGCAAAGCTTACCAAACAAGCTTGCTTAGAGGAATCCCTCCATACACATGTATGGAGGGGAACAGAGTGGGTGCCAGCTTATCACAACGGACCAAAAATTCTAACAAAAGTAGATTGAACAGTGATCGGCCATTCAAATGCATTTTGGCAAAATAATGGCACCGACCGGAATATATATTGCCGGTGGCAGCAAGAACCAGCCGGTGGCCTCTAGCCACTGCCGGTGATGGGTGGGGATGGTCTACAAGCCCTACCCTGCCTCTCAAAGGCAAGATGCAAGTGTTTGGTGCAAAACCAGACACAACACGGTCGAGTCGAGAGATCCTGAGGCAAGGCGCGCAACCGAGACCTCCGGGAACTCAAGACGAACACAAACAAGGGTAATCACCAAGTGTTCCAATGGTGACGTCCAAGACCTGAGGACGGTCAAAAATAGGTTGTCTACAGTTGCCCCTCTTTGACAGAACTCAAAAGTCATAACAATGACGGGAGTGAATGTCAAAGCCCAGAGACGACCCATTTTTGACAAGGCCGAAGACTCAGACAAACATGCAAGACAAACAAGATATGCGCCCAAAGGCAGGGGCAAAATGCAAGACAACGCACAGAGCCGGACATAACTTATGATCATGCAAAGAAAGCTGTAATGAAGCATACATGCGACAATTTTAAGCTAGCATACACGAAACTACACTATAATGCAGAAAGGATGTAAGAGAATTATGTAATTCTCGATACGTCTCACTCGGAATATACTACATCTGTCCGATTCATCGGGTTGTACCAGCCTTAAATGAACCGTACATACAATATCGTGCCTGCAAAGAAAACAAACTTAACAGGTACAATATCGTTAGCAATATGCATAATAATGTACTCGAAATGCATGACAACGCAAAGCAAGTGGGAAGCATAACAACGCTGTGAAGGCACAGACATGTAAGTGGAGCACACGGTCTACGCAGGCAACGAAATTGATCATAAGCATGTGGTCTACGCAAGCAATGAAATTGGTCATAAGCATGCGGTCTACGCAAGTAAAGAAATTGGTTTCAAACGTGCGGTCTACGCAAGTAGAACATGCGGTTTTCATAAGAATGCGGCCTACGTAAGTAGAACATACGGTCTACGCAAGTAATGAAATTGATTACAAACATGCGGTCTACGCAAGCAAAACATGCGGTCTACGCAAGTAACGAAATTGATTACAAACATGCGGTCTACGCAAGCAACGTAATTAATTATAAACATGCGGTCTACGCAAGCAAAATATGCGGTCTACGCAAGTAATGAAATTGATTACAAACATGCGGTCTATGCAAGAAAAATATGCGGTCTACACAAGTAATGAAATTGATTACAAACATGCGGTCTACGCAAGTAGGGTGTATGAGAAGAGTTGAATGTATACATATAAGTAAAAACATGTTATTCACGATGCTGGAATGTAAAGTACTGTAACACAGCATAATTGAAACGATTTGTGGAATCCACAAGACATGAAAAGGATACGGGAAGGGACGTTCT